AGACCTTTTAATCTTGTAACACAGACAGACAGACTAGAGTGACATATTTACTAGCCACCTCCAGATCAAGCTTTTCCCTCTTAATGACAGAGCAGTTTTCTTTGTGGGTTGTTGTCCACTGCTCTTGAAGATAAAAAAGGTGCTGTAACGTGGTGTTACTTTCTTGAAAGGTGTAATGACTTCATAGATAAGTATGAGATGAGTCGCAGCCTGGGGCAACGCTTGCAGGATGTTTCCCGTGAGAAGCAAGCTTTTGTTTTTCCAATTTATCTTAATCAAATATAGCATGACATGTTTCTCCCCTGTGGAAGGGCTAAGTCTTGAACCCAGTATGAAAAGCAGTGTATCCATGGAAGAAAACAGATTTTTAGTACATTAAGTTCAGCAATGAGTTCAGTGTAATATTTTTCTTGCTGGCAGACGTATCACTTTTCTTTGTGAAATGTTTCTAAATTAGAGCCAGTCTAAAAGTATATCTTCCCCTAAAATAAAAGGTTAAAATTAGATGTAGTTGTTCTTGTGCTCATATGGCTGTTCTGTGAAGGGGCATATGAGAAACCAACACTTGATATGGAGTTTGTTTATAGCTTCAATTGTCTTCACAGTCTGGGTGCAGAGAATAATTAATAATGTGAAAATATGATTAATTTTTAATTGGATATTCAGTCATTTTTCCTTATGGTAAAGACTTTTCTGTTGTAAGAATTATACATACCAGAATGTTTTTAAGGACTTCTTGATTTATTTTTTTTTAATATATCTGCTGTCTCTTTCTACTGGCACTGATTAATTTCCAACCACAATTTATAGACAAAAAGATTATACTTTCTAGAAATTTCATAATACAGCATTTAAAGTAACTTATTTCTAAGGATTAGCAGTGTCTTTTCTAACTTAGGTGCTTTCAATCACTGAACTAAAACTTGTCTGAAGGCCTGTGAGTTCAAGAGTTTGAGGTTACCTTCGATGAGACATTAGAGTTGTGTAGATAGGGGTTTCCAAACTCCCCTAAATTACTATTGCTAAAAAAGTAGATTTATGTTGAGTTGATCTTGATGACGAGATCTTGTCTTGTTTGATTTCTAAATTGTACAGATACTTCTAACAAATCGCATTCCAGCCTAACCACAGGCTCCTTCTGGTCATCAGTAGTGGCAAGCAAATGTTTCTCACCCGAGTCAGCAGGATGTTTCTCAATTTCTTCTCTGTTAGCCCTTGTTAGTGCCTCCTGCAATTTAAAAGAAAAAAAAAAAATCATTGGAAGAGGGTGAGGGAAAGACAGTTGGTGTTCAGGATCTTACATGCCTTGAATTTCAGTGACTCTTCCTGGTTTGGCAAGCAGCATGTCTACTAAATTGCCTGGGTTTAATGTTTGTTGTCTGGAATGACAGGGTTTGAAGTCGTTTTGCAAATGCCCTTTTGAAAGGTAGAGCTGCAGTTAGAGTCACAGAGGGGATATCTTAGAGGGTTTCCTAAAGTGTTGAAATCAGCTGAGCTATTGCAGAGAGGCAACACACTCTGAGTATTTAATGTGGCTCCACGCAAAGAAGGAGGAGGTATTATTTGTGAAGAGGATTGAAAAACTGTATGAGAATTCTGGCATGGGGAGGAGAAAACATCTGAGTGTGTATCGACTGGGATCTTCCAAAGGTGTCACCTAAAGCCCATTTGAAGTTGGTTTCCTGTTTCATTCGGAATTAAACCATCACTGTTGCTAAATATAAAGCAAAATGGCACATCTCTTATGAAACATCCAGTGATGCTCCCACTCTTCCTCCCTCCCACCCCCATTGCAACCATGGTCCTGTTTAGCCAGCCATTGTTTTGAGGTGCTTGGTAACCACAACTTTGTGAAAGTATAACACTCTATGTAAGCTTTCAGAGCTGGGCTAGAACAAAAGCAGATGTCGGAGATGTTGCATGCAGCCTGCTGAGCTGTGAGACGTTGTCCATTTGACTAGCAGGACAACTGGGCTCCGCTGCCAGAGGAGGACACACAGGATTGTTCTGCTTTCCTTTGGCTTGCTCTGAGTTCCAGTACTCCACACTTCATCGCTCTAAATGAACCATTTATGCTTTATTTCTTATTCCAGTTAAAAAGTGGCTTCTGTGGGTTCCGTAACTCCAACTTTTTTCCATTATAGAATTGTTTACATTGCAGTGGAAGAATTATGTTCAATTGGCGTAGTCTTCAGGTGGTTCCTTGGGTGTTTACAGCTGCTTTGTGAAATGCCTTTTTTTCCATTGGCTACTTCTTGTAGAATTTTTCCTTTTGCAGACATTTGTTGAGACTGGGAGAGCTCTCTTAACAAGAGGCAATGTTTGGAGACCATTAAGCCATTTCAAGGATGGCAACTCTGTTGAGAGAAGCTGCTCAGGGCAAAAAGCTCATGCAGCAGTCTCCAGTTCGGCATTTTGTCATTGCTTACTCTCCTGAGATTGCACGGTCTTCCTTATACACCCTGTGTGCAGTTTGAGAAGGAATGCTGGTAATGCCATCACTGAAACCTTGCAAGGAGGTGGGGGCCTCACTATAGTAGTGACTAAATTTGTCTCTTACTATTATAAGACTGAAACTAACAGTCTCCCATCGCAGCTGGCTGTAGTTATACTGTAGTGTGGTATGTCTTCCAAATTTTGTGGAACTGAAAACCATACTTCTTGATTCACACACCGTATCTCACTGCCTTGGCAACGACCTTACCCTTACTCTAAAGGGAACATAGGAAATGGTCATTTACAACTCAAGTACGGGGGGATTTCCTCCATGCAAATTTGCTGTTCAAGAGAATTTTATTGCAAATATCTACAGTTGAAAACCATTAATCTAAGGAAGATGGGTTGTGCCCTTTTTTATCCCAAGGTAGCTGTCAGACTGGGGAGGGGCAAGGAGGGGAATGGATTCAATTCGCTAAATGTCAGAGTACAGTGGAGAAAGAGGTTCCCAGGTTTACCATAAATGTAGTTTACAGTTTTAGGGAAGCATCAACTATCTCATAGCATCTGTCCTCAGTGAGTAAAATAGAGATATGTTATTTGATTAGATATGAAGCTTCTGGGGATGGAGATGATCTTGCTACAAGTACCAAAAAGGAGTTCATTGCCATTGAGGCTTATAGAAATGTCAGTAGTATACATTATTAGTCATTGGTTCATTCATCCATTCTTTGTTCTCCCTTCCATATCAAAATCATTCTTGTGTATCAATTTCTGGATCCCCTCTTTTTCAGTTTTACTTCGGTGAAACTTCCCCCCCTCAAGAGAGACTCTGCCTCATTTATTATCTCAGCAGGCTGCATCTGTGCATTCATGTAACCCAAAGTATGCCAAAGCACTTTGAGTTAGTCTCCTGTAAAGTAACAAGGAATAAATAAAAGAATTTACTTGGTATCAGAGCAGCTTGTCTTTTACCAATTGCATTCCAGAAGAATGGTTTTATTTTGAATTATTTATGTATGACAATGGTAATTGCAGCTGTTGTACAGAAAAATATAACTTCTTTTTTTTCAACGTTCTTATTTCACTGCCACTAAAAACTTACAGTATCAATGTAATTGCATAAATCCAGTGCTCTGGTCTCTTCAGTGGGACCTGAAATGTTGACGTGAGTGAACCCAACTGAAATCATCTTCCCAGAAAGTCTAGAAAAAGCAAAGGAGCTTCACCTTTTGTGTGAGACCTGCTGTGGAATTTTATCCTTTAAAGTGCAAATGGAGCCTGCAGGGTCCTCTGAATGTACCTCTGGCTCCTGCATTTCAAAGTGAGCTTTGGAAGCCTTGTGCAGGTGAATGGCAGTGCTGGGCTCTATCACACTTTCCCCTCATTATTCTGTAATAAATTCAGCTTTGATTTGGGTGAGGGGTATCAGGCTCCCTTACTGGTCTAATAAAACGTGATTCATTTAAAGGAAAAAACATCGAAGAAACTTGTTGACAATATGTTTCCCAACATGACGTCAAAACCCATCAAATAATTAATAGCAGAAGTTAAGGTTTGTGTAATTTGTTCTGCACATAAAGAAAACTTTGAAATTTATTCAAATCTGTGACTTTATGAAAAGACCTTAGTTTTACTCAGTACTTCCCCCCCACCTTCTTCCCCAGACAATGTTTCCCTGACCTTCTGCTAAGTGATTTTGCTTTTAGCTACAACATCTAGTGTTCAGGCCATAGACGATTTGAATTGCTTCTCACTTCTTTTGTATTAAAATGGTGGCAATTCTTTCAGTTTTTTAAAGTACGTAGCAGTTTAATTCTTGAATAGATTTTTATGCTAGTTTTATTTGGAGGTCTGTCCAAAACAAATCTTTTAATGTAAGATGGAGACTAGAAGTAATTTAATTACGTGGCATTTAAATAACTTTTAAGTTTTGAATTGTATTTCAAACCATTTTGAGCAAACAGCAGTAAGGTCACTTTCTTGTATACACAAAAAAACTAACAGAAATTAAGTAACTGGTTTTTGGAGAAAGATCCAAAAGTTAAGAAGGTCCTGTGTAAGATGTCACCGAGTCCCAGTCATTTAAAAAAAAAATAAAAAATAAAAAATTGAACATAGAATTTAAATACTACCATCCTCTAAAAGCAGTAGTAGGGAAAACACCAGCTCTAATAAAGCTGTAGGCCATAAATACCTTAAGGAGAACATTTTAAAGTTTTGAAAATTTTCCTGTTTTTTAAGCAGTAAGAATTCTTCTTTGGCAAACTCATACTACTGTACAATGGCATGGCAAAAGCTGAAAGGCTCTTGAACATTTTTAGTGGACCACAAGAAGGATTTTCTTTTTTATTTGAAAGAGCATTAATAGCTCAATGTTGCTATGCTAAGCTCAACTTCAGATGGTAAAAAACAAAACACAACATTTTACATATGTAACGTTTCATAATGGCCAAAGTGAGAAACACTAAGTTTTAGCCTAGGCTCCTTGCATCAAGGACAAATGTGGGGTTTAATTTTAACTTTTATTATAACTAACATAAAATTACTTGTGTTTTTTTCAGGGTCCACACATAGCATCAGTTACTCTTGCTGCATATGAATGTAACTCGGTTAATTTTCCTGAGCCTCCTTACCCGGATCAAATTATCTGCCCTGATGAGGAGGTGACTGAAGGATCCATCTCTTTATGGGCTATCATCTCAAAAGTCAGGCTGGAGGCCTGCATGTGGGTAAGGTTTGGTTTATAAAACTTTAACAATTTTAATTTATGCACTTATCTTCTATGTCCAGCAATACACAAAAATTCCTGAATTAGCAAAATAATGATGGCTTACACTGCAAACAGTAATGTGTATATTTGCAGTATGAATAGATGCCTTCCTGATCAACCTTGTAGCCCTGGATGATTTTAATGTCCTTTAAAGAGATGTAATAGGATATTACTGGGCTATCTTTTATCAACTGCAGTGTTGACTACTTTTCTAAATGCTAGCAGAAAACACTCATGTACTTCAAAGCTGTTGATGTAAAAGGTAAGTTTCAGAAAGGGTGTTTGCATCCCAAATGATCTTGCAGCTGTCAGGTCTTACACTGCATGCAGTTAAGCAATAAATAATTTCAAAAATTTCGAGGTTGTAACTTGAGCGAAATTGCCGTTACTTACATGAAGGACTCGGGCCCTAATGTTATAGCTGAAATATTTTTCTGGCTAGCATCAATAGATTGGATTAAATAAGAAAGTGTTATGTTGCACATTTTTATGGATTTGATTTGTGTTTCTCTACCTGTTTCCATCATGGCAAACTTTTGACTTAAAACAGGAAAAGCAGTTTAGCTTTTAAGTGAATGAGGGTCTTGGGAAACGCTGTCATTGGAACTTCCTTTCCATTTCCCTTCCCCTCCTGTCGTCCCCCCTCCCCTGCAGCTTTTTATAGAAGTTTGATTTTTTGGAGGATTTTGGTCAGCTAAGATGTTTTTTTCATTACGTGTAGATTATTTTGAATTACAGTTTACACAGATGCATCTGCTGTGAACTGCATGCCAAATTAACTTTATTTTACTACTGACTTCCTGTTCTAGCCGATGATTTAATTATTAAATTCTTGGTTGTCCAATTCAAATGTAGAGAGAAGAAATTCTGAAAATGCATGGCATCTGAGGTTTGCCCTTGTATTCCTTTTAATGATATGAAAAGATATATTAAGGCAACTTTGGTCACTACACCTTTTAAAATGATCAGCAGCTGTATTACTTAGAAAAATTCCAGTTAGGTTGTATGCGTTACAGACTAAAGTAATGTGTAGCAGTACCAAAGTCAAAATAGTAACAGAGAAAGTGGACTTACAGCCCTCTCGAGAAGCAAAGCATATCTTAAATTTCACTCTTTCTAATGAAAGGACGGAATTGCCTGAATGCTTAGTAAGTAGCTAAACATACAAGTACTTACAAGACCATAAATACAAGATTTCTTTTTATTTTCTTCCTCGTCCCTCTCTGCTTAAGTTTGTTTAATGGAGACTAGAGTAATAAAAATGGCATTTACAATTACGTTTCTAGGGTTGCAAAATAAAAATGTAGCTCAGGGTAAACATCCATTGCTTAATCCTCAGCATGTAAAATAACTGAACTATGATGAGAGTTAAGTAGTTTAGAAATGAGTTAATAGAATTGCAAGCACTGAAAGCTTGTATCCTTCTGAGCAGCAATGAGGGAGAACAAACAGTACCTTCAGTCTCTCATTGGAGCTGCGTTTCTGGGTTCAGCCTAGGGGAAAGACTAGGGAATAAATAGGCTGAGCCGGAACGTTTGTATCCCTAGTCTTTTCCCCCCCTTTCTTTCTTCTCGCCTTCAAATTCCCTGTCAGCTACCTTTTCACTGAACTCTGTCTCCACTGGATTTTCCCTTGGGAGCATCCTCTGTCTACCAGTGGTGTCTAGTGTAATGTTATGCTTTCTTGGAATGTTTCATGAGTACATAAACATTGCTTGCTAATTTCCTGTAAGCCAAATCAAGTTGGCAATTGCTGCTGCTTCTTCCAGTATGTTTCTTTTGTCCTAATTCCAGTTCACTTTTTATGGAAGCTGTTGAAGAAACTAATTTTTGATTCTGTCACTCTTAAACCAATTGTCCGCTTAACAGGAAAGTAATGGTGACTTCCAGAAAGTGAAAAGGCTGATTTTTGCATATCAAAACCTTAGTGGGGAAAAAAAAAAAAAATTATTTAATTTTCTGCTTTTAAACTGAAATCGGGAATATTAAGTTTAATTCCTAGCCTGGGTATGATTGAATGAGCTCACAAAATCTTTTTTTCTAATGGAACCAGCAACTTCTAATTAGATCTAAAATCTGAAGTTATGATAAATACTGGATAAATGCAAAAGAAAAGGAATTATTGGATGTATACAGATGTGCTCCTAATGCAGCACATGGAGCCCTGTGAGGAATAGGTATAACACCACCAACAGCCTGTTTCCTTTAGACTTGTAAAGCGAAATTATGTTGAAAGGCTCCAAAGTGAAATCTGGCCGATCTCCTTGACTATTTGGAGGGAGACAGGAGGGTGGTGGCAATATAGGTTTTCATGTGAAATGTTGAAAGCAGGCCGGTCCCAGTGGGGGCTTTGCAGACCTCTGACTATAAAGCTGCCCAGACTAAGTATCCTGCAAGGTTTGAATGCAGGGATTTATCTGCACAAGGGATTTGACTCAGATCACAAAAACATCAGCGGCTGTTTCAGCCAACTTAAACCAGGTACAGTGTTTTCCAGAGATTAAAATCATTACTAGTTCCCTGCATGTCAGTGATAGCCGTTTTTGCTGATAATGAGTGTTACGAGGATTAAGTATCATTGTATCTAAGGAATTAGGTGAAACGAACATGATGCTTTTTTTCAATCACTGTTAAAGTTGGCTCCACCAGTCCTGGCCTGCAGAAGGACTCAAAAACAATCTGCTACGTGTATGCCAGTTTTCACAGCCTTCCATCCCACAGGGACAAGGAATTCAATAGTGCCCTACATTTTTAATGTGTTGCAGCTTTTTTTGTTTTTTTTTACAAGAAATAAGGGGAAAGAATAAAAATGTTTAATTGCTCAGGATTAGCAGAACAGGCGGCCTGTGTCCTGACCAGGATAAAATCTGTTTAAAAGACTCTTTCTAGTGGAGTAATCTCCCAGTTTCCTTTTCTGAGTGTATTTGTGTGAAAGAATTTTGATTAGCATTTGCCTTTCCAATTTGTTGTTAGTCCAAGGAATTTCCATGTAAAACTGGCATTCAAAGTTAAATGGTGAAAATAGACAGCTAGTGTTACAAAAAGCAGTTAAATAGTTACTGCTTTGGATCCCTTAATTGCTGTGCTTTTTTTTTACACACTTAAGGAACCTATCTCCAGCAGACATGAAATCATATGATTTTTGTTGCACTTCTGAAATGTTTTGTAATAATGAGCATGTGACTTACCCAATTTAAAGAAAGTTCATGTCCAGTACACGCATGCAAACCTCTTCCTCAGTTAACAAAATGAAGCCAAAGCAAATTGGCAGAGCCTGGAGAAGCAATGTGACTTTTGTTCTTGCATCACCCTGAGAACATAACCTCAAGTTAATTTTTCTGAAACGTTATTGCTACTGTTTTCAGGCTTATCTTCCCTTGTGCCAGAAATAGGCAGATTAATGAAGTTCAGCTTGTTGCGCTGGTTTAAATTTTTCTTCTGTGGAAAACAAGGGCATAAACATATGAGGCTGTCCACTTTATATGCTTAAACTGAGAATTTAACAGTATGGGTAGCTGCGGAGAGTGGTGGTATTTAAAACCACAACCTATTGATTTGGAATATCCACAGCAGCTGGAATTCTCCCTTGCTTGCAGCTGCATATAGAGCAGGAACAAAGGAAATTGAAAAGCTTTCACATTGCTTCAAAGGAATAGAAAAGCATTCGTTCCTCACTGCTGACCCTAAGAGAGAAAAGCCATCTGCATGTAGCTAAGTTTTAGCACTTTTCCAGTGTGGTGCCGAACTATTGTGCTATTACCTGTCCTGTGTTTAAACCATTGAGAGTTTAGTCCAAGTTCCTCTTTCATTAGCCATATGATCAATCTTAGCTGTGTCTTTTTTTTTTTTTTTTTCCCCTTGGTTAAGCTAAAGTTGCATTTACCCACAAGATTGAAATGAGTCATTTGATGTCCTGAGAAAACAAATATAATTTTCCTGTGGTGAGAAAGCAACCATGCTTTCATCTCGGATTCTCTTGGCTTTCTCTATTCCATCTAGAGGAGAGAGAAAACTCGAGATCAAGCTTTGCTTAACCTTATTTTTCCTTGCTCATAGCTGTAGTCAATCTCGAGCCTGTTTTCTAATAAACACTTGCACAAAGTCTCATGACTGAACAAACAAACTACGTGACGGCACTGGGGAGGAGTTCCCAGATTATTTCGAAGACTGCTCAGGAGCACGGGCTGTCACATGCTGACAAATGTGTCTGGCATCATGCGGTGGGGTGAGATGGCAGCGCTGTGCTGAGTCAGGGATCGTGTCGGATAGCAGGGCCCCCGCTCTGGCCGGCATTCCAGCTGCAGCGCGGTGACAAGCTAAAGCCTCCCCACCACACCAGGCTCAGCTGGCCACCAGCTGCGGAGCTTTGCCGGAGCTGGGCCACGAGCCACACTGCAGGGCCCCAGAGATGTACAGATCATGTCGTTTTGACCTTGCAGACCACAACTTGAGAGCCACTGACTTGCAGCATGTTAGTCTGCGCTGAGAGAAGCTGAATTTTGCTAAACAAGGAAAGGGGGGAAAGTGAGGTTTCAAAGGAACAGCATTATGTTTGAAATCATGAGAAATTTGACCTGGTGGGTAGAAGCAAACTTGTCAAAGCAGCTGGTCTCATCAGTTCTAATAATTTGAAATGTCCACGGGGCTGTGCATATCACATGTTTCCTATTTAAGAATAAACACGAAAATAAATCAGAATTATTCTTTTCCCAGGGTGCTGGCACAGCCATTGGAGAGCTGCCTCCATATTTTATGGCGAGGGCGGCCCGACTCTCTGGTGCTGAACCTGATGATGAAGAGTACCAGGAATTTGAGGAGATGCTGGAACATGCAGAGACTGCACAAGTAAGAACAGTGCAAAACAACAGAATTAATAAAACACAGAACAACTGGATGGAGTAAATAAGCATTCCAGTGAAATGGGAATGGGCCAAAAATCAGTTGGTGTGAGTTCACAAGGGACTTCCCAGGGATGGAAAAAGATCCTCCACCGGGTAGAGATACCTCTGGTGATGGGAGGACAAGAATGCAGCTTGTTGAAGCATATAAAATAGTGCAGCCAAAGTATTTGCTACAAATACTGCATTAATTTAGACTTCCAAGAACAGCACAATAAAGGTAGGGAGAAAGTGGGCTAACAAACCAGTGGTGGAGGAGGTGCTATTCCATAATTGTGATTGTTATAGCTGCATTTAAAGCCTCCCTGGGCAAGGAGATGACTTTCAGTCAGCTCACCCCCTTCAGATGACATTTGCCTGCCTTGCCACTAACACCCTTGAGGGCCAGTGCATGACCCATTCATCAGCCTGAGGAAACATATTTTTCCTGATGTGAAAATGCAACCAAACTGCTCTAAGTCCCTTTTTGTTGCTCTTGTAATTTATTTTCTTGATGGATTAAATGCTGCTTGTGTTACAGCATAGTTTGCAACTGATGCTGTACATCAATCAGATATTATTGTTGAAAATTTTCATTCAGGTCAGGAGTTTGCCTCCTGTTCACAAGTTATTGATAGTGTTTTAGAAGAAATTAAACATTTTTTCCTCAAACTGCTTACCCCACTGGATTTATCTTCTGTATTTTTCCTTCTTACCCTGTTTTGTCTGCCACTAAGTTGAAATGGGTCATATGAGACTGCTATTAAAAAACCAGCAGATGCTATTTGCCATGCACTGCTGTCTTTAAACTGTTCTGCCAGGGTATTTTCTTGATATAAATATATACTTTTACTTTTTTTTCTCCTTCTCTTCAAAAAATGGGTGAAGCTTTTCCGTGAAAGAAGGTGGTTTGTCTGGAAATACTGAGTGCAATCTAGTAATTCTAACAGTAAACCCTGTGTTTCCTGAGAGCCTTCTCCTACTAGAAAGTTCCAAAGGGTTTTTCTGCTATTGTAAATAGTAAATCCTTCTATTTCTTTAAAGATGCAGTGTGTCTGTGGAAATCTGCTTTGTTCTTTACTCCATCAGTCTTTGCTTTGCAAGGTAATCCCTAACTGTATAAAAATCAAGTCATGGTAAAAAAAAGAAAAAAAAGAAAAAAAAAAAAACACACACACAAAAACCAAACCAAAAAAACCCAAAAAGCAAACCCCGAAACCAGTTGAATACATGACTGGAGAGCTGAAATGCTATCTGTGTTTACTGAAACTCTCCCAGCAAATTATATGTGTGTACAGTTGTGGGAGCAGCCGGAGTTGGTTTCCAGAATGCGCAGTAAGATTCTTGGGAAGAAAATTTTTGCTAGAGAGCATTTTGTCAGGACAGGCCAAAATATAGCTAGCTGTATTGACTGTCCTTAGTAAACTAATGGTGTTGTGTAATTAAGAAAAATGATGGTGTTATTTACCAAGACTTTTGATTTTATTTTCTTGGCAATCGAGTTTGGATTGAAGCATGTTGTTTTGTGGATGGATGGCGAGGAAAAAAAAAATCTTTTTAAACTCCACTTGTGGTTTGGTTTCTGTAAAACCCTTTTAGCATGAAGCTTTGACAATCCGATTAAATTGTATTGCACTCATAAAACTGACAGTTCAGTTTTTTCCATTTGCTAATATGACTTCCTTTTTGCTTTTGGCTCCAATCATGTTTTCGCTCGATGTCTGTGAGAGACAGGCCTGCCTTTTCCTATGACCTTTAGTGAATCCCAATCTTCAGCATAGCTTATCACTATTTGTTCTGTAGTTGCTATTCATGAGCAGTTAACGATGTCTATTTTTAAATTGCTCAATAACAGTTTTTATTACCTACATCAGCTTCTCCCACTCTCCCAAGTTGAAGCCTTATGCTTAAGAAAACACAGGGGATGTGACAAGTGTCTTATGCCATGGAGACTACTACAAATGTTTGACGTCAAATGACACGGCCTTCTTTCAGTATAAAGGTCTAGCTTCATCCTGCCTTTTTGAAAGGCATGAAAATGGGTGTGTTAGGTTTTTGAAGAATAGCTTCTCCCTCTACTTCTGCTGAGCTGCTCTGTGCCTACAAGGCAGAGCCGAATGGCGTGACATTTTTGCCTGCGTGTGTTTTGTTTAGAAAGCTTGTTGCTGCTATTTCTCAAAAACAATGGTAATTTTGAGAAACAGATGAGGATCTTCTATGGTGAGAATAGACCATGAACATCCAGCCTCAAGGATCTGTGAGGGGGAATGTACTTGCTGGCTTGGCACTTGAAAAAGCAACCAAAAAAAGGAACCTAAAAGGATTAAATAGCTTAAAGGTTTAGTGCCCGTCCAAAGTTACACAGAGTAAAATACTATTTACTTTAAAGAGTCTGTTGATGGATTTTCTATCATAAATCTCAGATCTAAGTGACTTGTCTCCTTGAGCTAGGGTTTGAGAAAACTCATTAGCCTGCAGACAGTGTGTACGCCTGCCTTGTACTTCCCATTAGCATACTTCAGAAAAAGCCCCTCATTTTAAAGGAACACTCACTTCTCCTTTCTGTGTGTCCCTGTGTGCGCACGCCAGTGAGTTCATCCCAGTTACATAAAGGGAGCGTCAGAGCTTCTCTTGCCTCCTGGCTGCTCTTGTTAAAACCGAGCGACTTTGCCCCGGAGAAGGAGCGGGGTTTACAAGCAGGGCTCTTTCCTTCTCAGAGCTCCACACAAGGCAGAGCCCAGCGTGCTATAGGAACAGAGCAACTCGGTCTGATTTGTTAATATTTAAGGCAGTATTGAAAAATCATGAATGTTTGAAACGGTATCTCAGTTGCTGTTAACTCTCTTCCAGACTAATTCCAGAGCAAAGGAGTTTTTTTTTTTATCGGAGCTCCCCTTTAGCCACAGGGAGGGAGTATCTCCAGCACAGCCGTTCAAACCAACCTCTCAATTAGGGGAAGTGAATCTACTACTTAGTGCTGGGGCAGCACATTGGTAATAATACGGTGCAAGCATACTTTTGTATGGTTTCACATCTACACACACATGTGCAGGGACTCTCTTTTGCCAGTTTAATAGTTGCTGATTGTTAAGTATTCTCATCTTTTCTCTGTCATGCTGAAACACTTAAAGCTGATGGAGGTTTCGGGTGAAAATGAAGCTTTTAATGCCAGCTTCCCTCAAGGTACTTAGTGATAATGTGTAATGCGTGGGCTCTTGCTCTATCGTGGTACTCCTTGCTAAGAGGAGAAAGTACTAATATCTTTGCTGTATATCTAATCCTTAATGACTGTAAGTGTTTGGATTCATTAAGTGGCATATTTTTAAGAACTAATGATTTACGCATCAGGCTTTGCTTCTGTGTGGTGTTGCTGCAGCCAAATTTCGATGTAAAAATATTTTCTAGTTGCCTATGTTACTATCAGCCACTGCTGTTTGTTTACTTTCCAAACTGTGTCCTGCCTCTGAAAGAATACAAACTTGAAAAAGGGTTAAATCCATAGAAATGCTGAGATGCAGCAGGACTTTTGTAAATGACTGACTGCACACTGAATGTCAGTTGTTGCTGGGACCTGTTTTTGACTCCACTGAACCTTTACTGGTTGTGGTTTGTCTGGCCATCACATGACTTCTCTGAAAATTCCCCCTCCCCTCCATTTCCAGTAAACTGTTTGAACAGGAGTGACTCAGACTGAAACCAGCTTCCCTGTAACCACAGGGCTTGTTAAAGAATTTGTCAACGTGGACTCAAGAGGGTTTGTATTAAACTAAGCTGCAACTGCTTCGGTTTGCATTGCGTCAGGAGTTCCATCAAACAACTTCCTGCTCGGAGAGTCGGCTTCTTGTCTGCAAGGAGTTAAACTGATGAACTTTTGCGATAGTGACAGTTACAACACATGTTAAACCCATCTTTCCAGCATTTCTGAAAGGTCTGGTGCCTTGAGCTGGATTGCTTTTCCACATCTTCATGTGGGGCTTCTCTTTGCAGAAGCAGAACAAAGTACGCTACCACACCCAGCCATGGTTACTTGGAGAACCCAGCACTGTGTTCTGACACGACACTGTGACTTAATTCAAATGGAATGATTAGGTTCAACTAATAAGCAAAATGTTACTTAATTAGCAGCGTAAAATAAGATGGCCAAATTAAAAATGGATCTCTCCCATGATTAAGCTAACAACTAGTATCTGATAAGTTCTTACTTGAAAAGGATTTGCTGGCTGCTGGCGTGTTTAATCAAAAGGTTTTAAGGGTATTTGGTAAAAAAAAAAAAGGTTAAAGCAGACCACAAGCAGGTTTTTGTAAAGCAGTTATCATAAAAATGGAAGTGGTAGAGTCACATACAATAACTGGAAAACCTTGACTTTTTTTTTTTTGCTTTCCCAGAAATAACTCATTTAAACATAACGTCAAATTCCGTTCCTAATGTCTCTTGCTCAGTCTTCCAGTCACCCCTTTTCCTCATCAGCTTCCTCTCTTTATTAATTGTGCTGTACAAGAAAGAGATGGCTAGTGTCTGGTCTAGGCTGCCTGATGGGTGGCCACCAGGAGACTTGTCTTCACACCCTGCTTTTGTCTTCACACACTGCTTTCCTGAAGTTTGATTGCTGCATTTGTTAGTATGTGTAGGGGAGGTATCTTACCTCTTTTATCTTGGCCCATAATTAAATGGAAATTCAAAACTAAACAAACCTTGAAGCTTCGCTTTAGAAACTTCCTATGAATGCTTGAGAGTGAGATGGCAAACTGAGAGTGAAGTAATAGTAAAGTGTGGTGGTGGGTTTTTTTCACAGACAACATAATAAACAGTGAGTGTACTAAGTAACAGCTTAGTTTTAAATTGTTCTCCAAAATTACTGAGTTGAAATAAGCTTTGGAATGAGTCAACGAAAGCTTTAAATAAGGGAACTTGTTGTAGAGGACTTCCTGAGAAAAGAGGTAGCAAAGAGTTAATACAGGCAGAGGGTA